CATGCCAGTATGAGGCTGACAGTGAAAAATAAACCTCAGACATTGAGTGTAGAAAAGACTGTTCCTCAAAGAACATTGCACCATTTGCTGCATTGTTGGTTTGGATGGCTTGGAGGAGATAATGCTACTGAATTTGCCACTGAGTTGGTGAGATGACTTCTGTAGCATTTCAGTGGCAAGTTCTCGGACAAACAGCGTTATGCAGCAATCCAGGTTATGTCCTTGAGTTTATTGGGGATTTTTGTTCTGCACATTTATTTGATGTTCGTATTTCAGCTTCTGGATTGTTACATATATGTCAGCTCTTACAGACTTGTACTGAGTCACCCAGATTGCATAGGTGGGACCTTCGCTAGACAGTATCCAATTCATATGCGTCTTGCTCATCTTTAAACCCAGAAGAAACCCTGTTTCTTCTGCTTTCAAAAACAGCACAATCTAATGCAGCATAAATCTTTTAACAATTAAACTAAGATAGTAAGGAAAAAGACTTTAGTGAAATTTATTATTCAAAGTTATAGTAAGATACGAAAAAGATTAACTGAGGGACAGAAATTGCTTTGGAACACCCCTGGGGTCCTCAGTGGCTTACAAGTGACATCACTTCACTGTAAAGAACCCTCCCCCACTTTTAGTTATATTACCAGGATATACTATATAGAGTGTCAGTTTAAATTAACTTCTGATTTATCTTCAAATAATGTCTTGAGTCTGTTGTCAGCATGTAAAGTACAGCATCATATACACATCCAACAGTAACTTAAAAAAAATGGCTGCATCCTCTCTGTATTTGTTTCACTGGATACATTTTACACCCAAGTATACCTGGAGAAGTTTAGAGAATTCCAATGACTATACATTACATTAAAACCAACTAATTAAGGAAGCTAAGATTACCCCAGATCTGTATGTAGCAGAAGGACCTGCAAGCATATTGTTTATAGCTACTGTCATTTTATCTCATCTTGCAACTGTTCTCAGAATTAAAAAACTAAAATATACAAATAAACATTGCAGTCGTCTTGTATTTTGAGTTGAGGGAAGGTATTGTTTTCTTCCAGAAATGTAGTAAGGGGAAAATCTCTTCCTTTAATAGGAGGGGGTGTACCTTTTGTTTCCTAATTCAGTCTGTGATTTTAGTTCTGAAAAAGCAGGACTTTAAAAAAAAAAATTGCTGTCTATTACAACAATGGAAATTCCAGCACATTTATAAATATGGTTCTGCTTGCTTTCACATCTAGGCAATTGTTTTCCAAAGCCAAGTGCAGTTTTTTTTCCCTAAAGAGCATTTTTCTAAGGGGTCAGTTTTTTCACTAGAGTGACACTTTTAAACTAGACTAACATAGAAGAACTGTAGAATGGTTCCAGATTGCTCAGGTCAGACAACTTCCAAAAATAGAAGTGTGTTGGGCAGTAAAGAGCCACAGATGCAATGAACTGCCTTTTTTAAACTTGTGTTCTAAGCTGGCATCAGAATAGGAACATTTGTTTTTGTGTTGTAAAAACATGTACATTTTAAAAGAAGTGTTGTAGCATCTGTTACTTTTGAAATTGTTAACCATAAATTACATTATTTTTGCAAAATGGATTCTAAGGTCTGAACATACAAGTTTTAAGTTGTAGCAGCAAATACATCCTGTCAGTGTGTTGATAAAAAGATGTTACCACTTGCTCCCTGTGTAGAGGAATGACCACAGCTGCTGCCTTATGTATGTGACTGTTAGGGAATCCCAGGGAGCCTTGTTGTGTCTTTATTTAATATGCAAGTTCTGCCCTGATACAGTAGGTAATGCACATTGCTAGAAGCCCACAGATAAAAGAAGGGGTCGTTTTAAAATTTGCTGTGGCCAAGTCTGTGGTTATGTCAAGTAGGTTGTTTGGGTAGGTCAGCTGGAGTTAGTCTTAGGAACTGCTTCACATTGTCTAGTGCAGGGGTAGGCAACCCCTGGCATGCGTGCCAGAGAGTGGCACGCAAAGGCTTTTTGCTTGGAACACACACCTCAGGGCGGCTGGCCAGGAAAGGGCCAGGGCTGAGCTGCCACAACAAGGATCAGGCCTCCTGTAGCTTCCCTGCTGTCTACCCCTGGTACACCAACATCTTACAAAATGAGGTTTGCAGGTGCTTTGGTGTTCTGTCCAAAAACGTTGCTGAACCCTGGTATACTGGCTCCTTTGAGACACCGGGGATCTAAGGCTGTTGCTGATGTCTTCTCATCTCTGCCTGGGTTTTGAATACATTACTTGTTTAGGACTCCAGCTTCTTTCTGTCTCAACCAGTTTTATTGTTTACTGCTACTGTAAATCATGGACATTATCAATAGAGGACTGAGGAATTGGTTTCTGAGTTGCACATTATCTCCAACTTTCTCATTTCTGTGCTGTATCCTTACTTTGTCTGTGTTTCTCCCCTTTTTTGGTTATCTATTTTAAAGGCCTGTATTGCACAGGTGTCTTGGAGAGATGTTAATTTATGAGTGTTATATCTCGCTAGGACAGAGGTTAGAACCTGTAAATGTTTGACAGTTGTCCCAGGGATACAAGCATGGGGGAGCAAGGAACCCTGCCCGCCCAGGAACACGGGACAAGGGGAACCCAACCCCAAAAGAGAAACTCAGTAAAAGAGAAAAACTTACCCCTTCTAGGACGCCGACAATCTGAGAGAACAAAAGCAAAACCCCTGCAGTTCATTAGCCACGCTTATCTGCAGCTGGAGCTGGGTGACACCGCCCAGTGGATTCAAAAGCCAGCTCTGAGAGGGAGCGAGTGGGGATTCCGGGAGCAGGAGATTCTGCAGGGATCCCCAACGCCGGGTGCACCCAGCACTGGCAGAAGCAAGAAGATCTGACATGGAGGCTGGTGTCAGTGCCGACAGAGTTTGAAGGAACGTCCCACTCTGGCCGCGGATGGCATGAGAGCATGGGACCAGGGGCGGCTCAGCGAAGAGCCAAGGAAGACCCTGGCTGGGGCAAGGATGCGGATCTGAGTCAAGGAGATGCACTGGGTTAAGGCTAGGGCTTGGTGGAGGAAAGAGGGCTGCCTAGCCCAATACCCCTCCCCTTTTTCTTTTCAGTTTTTCTTTGACTTCATCTGTAGTTGGTTGGGTAGTTCCTTTCCTTTTTTTTGGTCCATTGGTGTTCTTTTCTTCCTCTTTTACTTTGATGCAGGCTCTCACTGATTACGTTGTTGTAGATAGGTCTTAAGGCAACAGTAAGGGAATTCTGGTGAAGGAAAAGAGCAGTGGTAGCAAACAGCTCCAGATGGAACCACCAGGCTATTGAGACACATCTCCATGGGCAAAACATCCAGAGGCCCCTGGGTCAAGATGAAACAAAGGTTGAACCAATGAAAGTGCAGGGAACGTGAAGATCCGGAGTTGATATCACCGGAAGGGCAAGCCACACTAAGATCTTAAGGCTCATCTCGAGGGCTGGCATATGGATGGGGTGTAGGGGAGGTAGAGCCCCACATACATCCACCGGGGGGCACGACAACTCTGGAGGTCCCCTCAACAGGAGTCCCCACCATTGAAGATCTATCTGAAGTTGTGGCCGGTGAGTTTTGGGGTTCTCCCCGAAGTGACCGAGGGTCTTCTCCAGAATTGTATGAAGTCCCATCGTGTCCAAAACTAGGCGCACATGCTAAAGCTGCACAGGAGGGGATAATCAAACTGAGACAGGCACAACAATAAACTGACACACTTAAATTTTCCAGATCTCTCTCTCTCTCTCTCTCTTTTTTATGTTCGCTCTCATTTTCTAGGAAGGGTGGACAAATCTGGAAAGCTACTTTTGCTGTGGCTGAAATCATCTGTGTTCTTTCCCATTTTAAAAACACTTGCCGATAAATGTTAGTATTCCTGCTTGTTGTAAATTCTCCAGAGCGTTTCTCAATGCTGCCAGGAATTGTGAAAACAATTTTCATGTTATACAGTGTTGAGTCTCTGATCCAAGGGTTACAAAAGCCCTACCTGCTCCATTCATAATTTCATTACATTTAAAGCCTTCATCAGTTCAAAACATCAAGGGATATATTCTTGGACATCCCTACAAATATGATTAAAGGTATTTTTCATTACACACATGCTCCAAAAATTATTTGATACATCTTCATAGACCCTGAATGGGTCCAGAAGAAAAATAAAAAAAATCAATACTTTTCTTTAACTGTTCTGCATGTGGAAGATGGAACTGTTCTATGTCAAATAAAGGGATCGCTCTTTTAGGAGAATTTTGTAGAATGATATTTGTCTTTCATAGGACATTTACTAAGTCTGCTACAGACTTTTGAAATAAAATTCTTGAAATTTATAGATCAATGGGGGGCAACCTTTTAGGGAGGTTTGTCACAAATTATCCCCAAGTGTCACTCCAATCCACTTTCCCTGCCCGATCTGCTGCTCTTCTTTCTCCTCTCAACCCTGTGTTCCCTGCCTAATCTACTGCTCTGCTTTCTGCTTCCTTCCCTGTGCTCCCTGACCAATTTGCTGCTTTGCTTTCTGCTTCCTGTCGAATCTGGTGCTGTGCTGCCTATTGAAAACAATAACCTTGAAATTAAACGTGGCCATAAGAATTTGCATGTGGTACCTATAGACTTGGTTCATCCAGAATTGATGCAAGTTATCTTTATTTGGAAACTCTTGCAAGTTTTACTACGGGTGTTTCATAAACACACTTCTGAGCAGCACTTTGGCACCTACTTACATCTAGCATAAACTATTTTTATATATATTATATTTTGTTTCAAGGGCCAGATCAGTTCCAAATTCACTTGGGCAAATCCTAAGAGTCAAGTTCCAAACTTAAACTGAGTAGAACTAGTTATTCAAGTTTGTGTGGCTCTGCTACTGGACATAAATCCTCCCTCCCAGACCCATCTGTGTGGGGGTTCAGGTGCACTCCAAATCTGAGACAGGTAACTTATATGTAAACACCAGGCCTGGAGATCTTAGGGTTTAGATGCCCTCTAGTCTCACACTCAGCCAAAAGACCTAGAGGCAAGCAAAGGAGAAAGTAAGAAAGTAATCCCCTGTTACCACAAAATTGTCCAATCAAATTTCCTGCATTGGGGGAAACTTGCAGGGGTTAGCCTGCCCAGAGTGCAAGGATAGGCCTCACCCTGGGAAAACCACCTTTGTGATCATGGGATCTCCCTTGCATTGTATTAGTCCAAAGCCAAAAGGCTCATGGTTTGCCACAGTTCACAGGGCCCCACCAAAGGCAACAACATTTTAAGTCATGGTGAGCCACAACACTGCATACCCACAATCCCTCCGCTGGCCCTTCTCTCTGCCTGGTATATATGATTAGTGTATCCCTGCCCTCCATGGTGACCCCACAGTTCAGCACTGCTCAGTATGTGTGTGTCACAACCCAAGGGTGTGATTTTGTTTTTGTGTGTGCTTTGGCACCACTGAATTATTTTCCCGCTGTTTGAAGCTTTCTTTGCAGGGTGCATTTCTTCTTTGCAGCATAGAAATGCACGTTGCAAGGAGTTCCCGCCATTTGTATTAAAATTCGAGCCCCATTATTGGCTTGTGTTAAAATATTCCCATGTGGCGGCTAGCGATTGGCTTGCTAGCCGTATAAGAGGCTTGAGTGGTTTCCGCCCAAGTTGGAGGACTCCACAACCATCTGGAGAGAGCAAGAGGAGGGCTTCACGTTTTGTGAAGCACTCTAAGCGCTGCGGAGCCTATTGGACCCAGCGTATTCAAAGAAGGCAACAGGGGTCTGATCAGCCTCTAGCCTCTCCCCATCACCGAGCACAATCCTCGACGTATCCCTCTTCCCTGCGCGCAAAAAAGGATCCACGGAGCCTAGGTGTCGCCTGCTTTCTCCGACCCAGCGTGCCCGGGCTGCTGGCCACAGCCCGCACGGCACGAAAAAGGGCCCGGATCACTCCCGGCCTGCACAATGTGTATACTCCAGATACTCCCCAATACTCCCCACTAATGACTGGAACCAGGTGTTCTTGTCACAAGTCCTGTGATGCTCAAAAAAATTATGTGTAGATGAGACACAGGGCAATCTGATCTGGCTTCAATTTGTGGAGGGTGGAGCCACAGTAATCATATGTGCCAAACTGAGATAGGAGTCAACAGAAGTATTTGGGGTATGCAGTGTAGTGGCTTACCATGACTTGAAAACAACTTGGCAGTGAGGGGGACTGTGCTTAATGGGCACTACGTTATGTCTTATTCAGATGGATTGCACTAACCTATCCTTGTGGTTCCCTTCAGCATTGTGGCCTTTTTGGCTAAGATCAAATGTAACGTTTTTGGCACCAAGTGGAGGATGTCAGGACTGGCTCTGACTCTGCTGGTGCTGGCCTAGTATTGCAATACCTCCAGGCCTGGTGCCAGTTCCCTGCAGAGGGAACACCCGCCTGTTTGTTTGTTTGTTTTTTTAGGGGCCACACACAAAAAAGATTCCCATCAGCATATTTGCCTAATGTGGGCCATATATTTTATAGTCATGCTCTGTTTTGGCTTCATTTAATCAGCTTCATAGTTGGTTTCTATTACTGAGCACATGCTGCTTTTGGCAGCAGTTTAATGATAGACAACGTATTTAGTGAAATTTCTTTGTCTGCGATTATAAGACGAAGGGCTCTTTTCCCCCTGCCAATTGAGGGGGAAGGGGGAAACTCATCTTAGAATCAAGTAATTATGGTAGTTTGGTATCTTCTGGGGAGAAATTTAGATTATATCTAATTTCTAAAAGAAGACGGATAAGAGCTGGTCTTACTCCTTTTGCTTCACTTTGGGTGCGTCTACATGTTCATTAATGCTCTGTAGTTACTGTGTATTAAGTTTAGAACTTGGATAATCAAGTACTAAATCAATGCGCAGTAACTTGTGCCACTGCACAGTAGCACCCGCACATGGGTTTTTTCAGACATTAACTGTGCAATAGCCTTATACTACTGCTCAGTAGCATATTATAGATTCATAGATTCATAGGATCAGAAGGGAGCTCAATAGATCATCGAGTCTGACCCCCTGCATAGGCAGGAAAGTGTGCTGGGTTCAGATAACCCCAGCCAGATGCCCATCTAACCTCCTCTTGAAGACCCCCAGGGTAGGGGAGAGCACCACCTCCCTTGGGAGCCCATTCCAGACCCTGGCCACTCTAACTGTGAAGAAGTTCTTCCTAATGTCCAGTCTAAATCTGCTCTCTGCTAGCTTGTGGCCATTATTTCTTGTAACCCCCGGGGGCGCCTTGGTGAATAAAACCTCACCAGTTCCCTTCTGTGCCCCCGTGATGAACTTATAGGCAGCCACAAGGTCGCCTCTCAACCTTCTCTTGCGGAGGCTGAAGAGGTCCAGGTGCCCCAGTCTTTCCTCATAGGGCTTGGCCTGCAAGCCCTTAACCATACAAGTGGCCCTTCTCTGGACCCTCTCCAGGTTATCCACATCCCTCTTGAAGTGTGGCGCCCAAAACTGCACGCAGTACTCCAACTGTGGTCTGACCAGCGCCCGATAGAGGGGAAGTATCACCTCCTTAGATCTATTCGTCATTCATCTGCTGATGCACGATAAAGTGCCATTAGCTTTTCTGATGGCTTCGTCACACTGCCGGCTCATGTTCATCTTGGAGTCCACTAGGACTACAAGATCCCTTTCCGCTTAGTAGTGGTTTTGCCCGGCATGCTATTGCTCAGTGTTAGTATGTGCTACTGTGCAGTTAGCATCTCATGTATTTGCGCCCTTTATGAAGTAAGGGGACCTCGCTGAGTGGAGGTCTCTTTGAAGAAGCCTCAAGTATTATGATAAGAAAAAATATTTTTGAGGGGGTATAGAGAGCTTCTTTTGCTAGTGTCTGCATACTGCATACATAATTGTTGCATACTGAGTGCCACAATTATGATGTACAATTTTGTTTTGTCAAACCTAGACTGCCTGATTTCCTTTCAAAATGAGCCTATGTAATGATATTTTATTAACTGTGGGGACCGTAATATTGAGAATTAGCACTCTTTTAATACCCTATATAGGGACTTGTGTTGCAAATCTTTGAAATAAGAATTTAACCTCAAGGGAAGAAAAATTTTCTTCTGTAGTTCTAATAATTCACATTATTAACTTGTTCTTTTCTGTTAAATCTTGTCTCTTCAATAGAGGCACATAATTTTCATCTATTTTTTTTAAGTTTGACTGATTTTACACTCCTGCAAACCTTCTCACAATCCTTTGGTAAGCGATGAATTGCAAATCTTTAAAAATTGTTGTCAAGATTTATAAATATATATCTGCACCTGTCTGCTTCACCCACATTCTGTGCCTTCCAGTGTTGTGAAGCTGTTAGAACTTTAATAACCTTTTCAGGTTATACTGATTGCTAATTTTTTCAAATTTCAGTCTGATGCTGAAAATAATTCCATTGTCACTTAGTGTCATGCATGTGTTGTAATGTCTGGGCTGAAATTTTTTTTGTTTTGTTTCACGACTGCCTCTGTCTCCATAAAAACTTTAAAAGCTTAATAGAAACCTGAAAATACTTCTGCTACTCTTTGGCTTTATTACATGTATTTTCAGGAGAGAGGGTTTCTTCACCCTTCTTCATGTTTTATTTAGCTTTACGGCTGTTAGTCCTTAATATCTTGGTAAATTGTATTTGTTCTTCAAAGTATATTTGGCTCTGCAGAAACAAGAGAATTGGTGGAGGACTGGGGAGAGGAATGCTTGCTCAAGACTTCGCATCACAGAGGAATTTGTCAACCTACAATATATATGGAGAGTCTAAAAGGGATTTTAGTGTTGTTGCTGCAACATCTGGATTGCAGACTATTCAGTGACAAACTGTTTCAGAAAACATGAAAATCAAAGCACTGTATGCATTTTGTCCTTTAACATACAGAGTAAATGTGTAAGAAAGAAAACGTTCAGAATCTGACTTTCATTAACTCTGAAAAGATTTACCCCATAGGTTAGAACACCCAGGGAAAAAGCCTGTGTTTTCAATCTGGCTTTTTGTATTATGCATACTAGTATTCTCCCTGTCCCTCCCCCTCAGCCCCCCAAGGATTTTTTTTCCAGCAAAATAGGCACCTCAGTTCCTGAATGTAATGTTCTACCCAAAGCACATCTGAATTGCGGAGCCATATGACTTCAGCCCATGGTATATTTAAATGTTGGTTTCAAATAAGGGCATGGAGATTCCCTTTATTGCCATTAAAAGGGAATTTAAACCTGACCAAATGTTGAAAATGAGATCTAGCCTTTGAAAGACTGCAGCGTACCCAGCATTAACTGTGTGTAAATGTCTTCGGGAACTGTGAGAAAATCATTACCTCATCTTCAGCCAATCAGATCAGTCTGCTTTGAAACATTCTAAGCACATATTTCCCTGTCACTGCTACGTGCTAGGAATAGGTAAGTGCTCTCTTTTAACAAAGCGTGGATGGGCATTCAAGATATAATCTCTAATTAGAAAATGACCATTATAAAAGGAAGAATTTGGTTGGCTGCCCACAGTTGCACTCAAGTATTTGAAATCATTATGCAGATCAAGATTTATTATCCAGTTTTATTTTTTCTTCACATTTCAGATGACTAGATTCATAAAGTAAAAAGTGGGGGCAACTGCTTTTACAAGCTTACAGGTTAGGAAAAGAATTTACACAAAGATCAGTATAACTGATTGGAAACGAGTGCAAATTTGTAACACAGCAGTGCAGTGCACATAAACCACTTTCAAAAGGGCTGAAACCAGTTTAAGATAAACCTGGGTGGATGTAGTATCAGACTTAACTGATTTAGGTTAAATCAGTTTATTGTACTTCTGTCCCAGATCCCCTCCAGATTCAAGTTAACTCACAGTCCCCCAGAATACCAGAATGCTTTGCACCTCCCCCACAAATCCCCTATTGCAGCCTTGGCCCAAACTGTCTGCTGCAACTGAGCAGGGAGGTGTGCTCTAGTGCACCCTGGCTTCTGGCCTGAGCCACTGCAGGCATGTGACTGCATTTTTAGAATCAAAAGTGAATGTCTGTTCACTTGCTTATCAGTTTAATCTATGCAGCTTAAACTAACCTGTGATGATTGAATCGATTCAGCCTCAGGCTTTTGACTGTCTGTACTTAGCCACAGCGATCAGCTTCTATGTAGGTCAGGGAGGTTTACGCAGGAAGATAGTCATAAAAGAAAACAGTAATTCTCTAACC